GTTAAAATACACTCCAGCAAGTCTCAGCATGTCAAGAACATGGCACATACAAAGACATGCCCAGCTTGTTTAGAGTGATCCATGGTCTGAATCCAGAGATTTCCCAAATGGCTCCAATATCGCATAATGGCACCTTACTGCCTGCACTGCCATCTTTCAGTCCACAAGTTGGCTTGAATAGCCTTAGTGAGTTATAATTCCCATGCTTAAAGTACAATTCATTAGTTTTTAGCATATTCGCATATGCACACATGCAACCTTTACCACAGAAAACTTAAGGTTTTTGATCACCTCAACAAACATCATCCTGTATCCTTTGGTGTCACCTCACTTGCCTCATCCTCAATGCTCATCAGTAACCCCAATCTGCATTCCAAGAGAATAGATTCCTCTATGATATTGTATCACATGTAGACTTCTCTGACTGACTTCTGTAACTTAGGCTGCTGGTTTTTTTTTGGTTTTTTTTTGAGAGATTTTCACTGTAGGGCACGTGCGCTTGCCAGACAGACAGAGAGAGACATAGAGACAGAAAGCGAGAAATCACCCCCCAGGGGGGGATGGTCACGCCGCAATCCCTTCTCCTCCATTCTCCTCTTGGGATCTTGGGCACGCACGCACACGCGCCCGGCCTGAGTTTTAAGCCACCGGGTCTGGGACACGAACCGCGGTCGACTACGTGGGAGTCCAGCGACATAGCCATTACGCTAACTGCTGGTTCCCTAGGCTGCTGTTTTCAAAGGCATTGATGTTATAGTGTGTATCAGTTCTTCATTCGTTACCGGCGAAGTAGTCAACAAGGCGGAAGGGGAACTGCACATGCACTACACCTATCTGTGAGGAGGCAGTGAGTCAGCATTCCGCTATTTTAGAGTAATGCCATGGGACTCAGTAGGAAACTGAACATTCACACTCACCTAGGGTTTCATCTGCACCACAACAGCAGAACTGCCTGCTGAAAAACAGATTGAATATGATCCAGAGTCTCAAATTATAGTATCTGATATGTCCATGACAAAACAAAATAAACCCATCATTTTAAGAACCAGAAGACAAACAAAAACAAATTGACTTAGAAAATATAGTAGATGCCAATAATAAGATAATCAGATACTAAAATTATTCAACAAGAATTTTAAATGGCCCTTGAAAATATTTCAAGGGCAGACTCCATGCCGTAATAGTAACATGCTGCTCAAGAGAATCTGGATCCCATAGGACAACCATGGTAAAAATTCCAGGCCCAGTCATCCTGAACTTGTATGTATGAGTGTGAGTATGACAAGCTGGGCTAGAGGACTAAAGGAGGAGGATCTGGGTGTGACCAGATCTTCTGAACAGTGTTCATTTCTCTCTCTTTGCCCTGTGTGCATAAGCATCCTCCATAAGATAAAGAAACCAAAGTTAATGTTTTGACAGCAAACATTTTATAAAAGTAATGAAGAAAATAGAAAATGTCAGTGAAGAAACAGAATTTGTAAAAAGGAAAAAAATAAGGTCAGTAGTGGCATAGTTATGAAGAAAATAGAAAATGTCAGTGAAGAAACAGAATTTGTAAAAAGGAAAAAAATAAGGTCAGTAGTGGCATAGTTGTTACGTTGTTGGACTCCCACATGACCAACTGCGGTCCGAGTTCCAGACCTGATGGCTTGAAAATCACACTGGACTCAGGAGGAGAAGGGATTGAGGCGTGGCCATCTTCCTAGGGGGAGCTTTCTCACTTTCTCTCTAATTGTCTCTGTCTCTGTATCTCTCTTTCTCTCCCCTGCCAAGCACATGCCCCCTGTGGCAAAAACTTTTAATAATAATAATAATAATAAGGAACCAAATAGAAATTGCACAACTGAACATGATCAGGTTGTCAAGAAAGTCATGATACATTTTTGCATAGAAAAATACATCATGATTTTCCCAATAATCCAATACAATAACTGAATCAAACAAATAAACAAATACACTTGCTGTACTGGCTCAACAGCAGAGTAGAGATACAGAGGTTATGATATTAGAGTGCGGATGTGGAGGATGTGACTACAGATGAATGGAGTGCACCAGATTCAAACAACCAAGAAAATAGATTATAAAATAAAAAGAATAGAGGTACATATACTATGGAATAATAAATATGAAGGTAACATTCTTATTTCTGATGTTTCAGAAACAGAGGAGAATGAGAGGGGAACTAATTATGTATTCAAAGACATAATGGCTGAAATGTCCAAAATCTGGGAAAGATATGTAGGACCACAGATTCAGGAAGCTGATCAAACCTAAGGAAAACTCAAGGATATACACATCAAGAAACATTCTATTTAAAAGTCTGAAAAATGAAGAAAGAATGACCTTAAAAGCAGTAAAAGACTTATTTCCTAAAGGGATAAGGTCATTTGAAAGAAAATAAATTTCTCCTTTGAAACATTAAATTGGAGGACAATGGCACAAAATTTAAATTTTTCATTTTTTAAAAATTTACTGCTGAGTCAAGCAAGCCAGGCTATGAAGGAGAGGCATAGCATGTCCTCACTGAATATATAACGAGTGTCCACACTCTATGACTGAAACTAATTGACTAAAGGATATAGAAACACAGTATATGGATGTAAATACCAGATATAGTGTATGTGAAAGAATAGGGTCTGAGGAAGGACATTTAGAAGAAAAATAGGGAGGCAAAGCATTTGGGCACAAAGAAATGTGTTATTATCTGTCAAAGATATTTTGTAGTTTTATCAACTGTACAAGGGAGAAATGTTCACCTGTTGAAATGTCCACTTTGTACGCCAAATAAAAATGTGATTGAATGTATAAAGGAAAATGAAATGAAAAAAATTGTATATATTTATGGTGGAAATTGCATACACGCATACATATGATATGATTACTATAGTCAAACAAAGTAACATACCGATCATCTAGCAAAGTTAGCTTTTTTATTTTGGTGGCAGGATCATCTAAGATCTACTGTCTTGGCAGATTTCCAGTGCGCGATAGAATATTATTAACATAGTCCTCCTGCCATACATTGGTTCTCTAGATGTATTTAGCTTCCATAACGTAATTGTGTGCTATTTGTCCTACGTCTTCCATTCTCCCCACCAAGTGCCCCATGTAACCACCTGCTCTTTATTTCTGTGTATTCAACAATTTAAAACAAAATTTAGGCAGGGTGTTATGTTGTAAAGCTCCTGCCTCAGCACTCTATGTAATTGAAACTATACGGATGCCATGTGGGTGCCTTGAGGTCCAACTTTTAGGGTGGATAGGGAAGCTTATCTGGTTTCTACCAGCATATGCCATTGCAACTGAGCCTGTGTTCAGCTTTTAAAATGATTTCACATAGAAGAAAGGTCATGCACTATCTTTTAGCTTCTGGTTTACTTCACTTAATGTCATAAAATTCCATCCATGTCACAAATGATAGAATTCCCTTTTATTATTTATTTATTTATTTTGATTTTTACTATAGGAAACATGCACTTGTTAAAGAGACAGAAAGTGATAACTCACTCCCGGGGGGATGGCCACACTACAATCCCTTCTCCTCTATTTTCCTCTGGGGATTTTGGTCATTGCAAGCACACACATCTAGTGTGAGTTTCAAGCTATTGGGTCAGGAAATCAAACTGTAGTCAACCATATGGGAGTCAAGTGCCTTTACCACCATGCCACCTCCTGGTTCCAGAATCCCTTTTTCAAAAGAATAAACCGTACCTAATTTTAAAATATATGCTATAATTTCTTTATCCATTCATCCACTGATGGATGCATAGATTGTATCTAGGTTATTAGGAACAATGCTTAAATGAACATGGTGACTCAGTTATCTCCACAAGGCACTAATTTCACGTCCTTTGGGAGATATACTTAATATTCTACTGATTTAAAGGTTAAATCATGGGTTAACTGTCCATCACAACTAAACATATACCATCAAAACCACGTCTGGAATGATGTTGAACCAAACAGCCATGCAGTATTTCTTAGTCAAGTTGAAAGAAAAATTAACCATCACAGGGATACTAGCATAAATTAAACACTAGAGATCATAGCATGAATTAGAAATGTTAGCAATAAGGCTGGAGAGAAGTAGTGGATAAATGCTGGACTCAGAATGATCAAGACTTGGTGATTGAACTCAAGTAGGCGTGCAAAAGGGGAAAAAGAAATAAATTACTGTCAGTCTCCTGAACCAATAAGCTGATGAAATTTTAGTGCTTCTTATCTGGAAGAGAGCAAATTACACGGGGAAAAGAGTAACATTCATGACAATTAAGTGTGGTAGTCATCAGCATGTAGAGAACGGTAAGTTAGAATTCAGAGGGAAAAATATAGTCCAAATCCCTCAAGCTTCCTTAGCACCCCGTAGGTCTTACAATATACAGCTCACTCTAAGAATTTGTTCCACTCATTCCCTGAGAGGGTCAGGAACACTGGTCATCCTGTAGAAGTCACCTCTTTTTCCTGACAGGAATTCACAGGTTGGTTACAAGCATCTCATCCTTTTCTGGGTCCCACAATATTCAAGGCTGGAGTCTGAGACTAAGAACACAGATAAGGATTTTATGTGTTCATAAAGCCTATTCCCACACAATAACTTATTGTAAGAAAAACATCTATAGTAATTTCATTGTCTTTTCTACTTTGTCATTTTTGTCTCAGAAAGTACTTATATTCAGTGATAAATATTGTCATCAGGTACACTTGTGGCTAAGCTTTTTTGTAAAAGATATAGATATAATCATGAGGATTTAGACGTACATTAATCTCAATTCACAACAGATGACTACTTTGGAAAAAAGTGTGAATAAAGATTAAATAGGATTTTCAGTTATGTTTATGCAAAACAAATTATATCTCTTAGTCATAAATTCAAAATTAATTTATTAACTGTAACTGATGATGAACCTCTGATCTACTATTTTTAATCAGAAAAAATGTATCTAATATTCTCTAACATGTCCCACAATGGCTAAAGATAAATGGACCGATATATCCCATAACTAAGAAAAACTTTTTCTACAAAGCTCTCTCCTCAGAGCCCCCTTCATCTCATTATTCCTGAGGCTATAAATGAGAGGATTCAACATGGGGATAACCACCATGTAGAACACAGATAACACCTTGTTCTGGTCAGTTGAGAAGCTGGACTTGGGCATCACATAAATGAATGTAAGAGTCCCATAGAACAGAGTGACCACAGTGAGGTGGGAGGTGCATGTAGAGAAGGCCTTGCGGCGTCCCTCAACGGAGCGCATCTTCAGGATGGTGACGAGGATGTAGATATAGGAGACAGCGATGACAGTCACTGCTACCGCAACGATGGAGCCGGCAGAAAAGGAGGAAACAACTGCAGGGATACTTGTATCAGAACAAGAGAGTTCAAGTAAAGGGGCAAAATCACAGAAAAAATGATTGATGTGATTGTGTCTGAAGAAGAATAAAGAACAGAAGCAAATAACATAGGAGAAAGCATTGAGAAAACCAGCTGTGTAAGCCACTAGAAGTAACTGGACACAGACTTGTGTGGACATTTTGACTGAATAAAGCAGTGGGTTGCAGATGGCTACAAAGCGATCATACGCCATGACAGCCAGAAGGAGGCACTCACTTGATCTGGCGAAACAAAGCTGGAATCCACATCCCAGAAAGGAGATTGTATTTCTTTCCACTAAGAAGTTTACAAGCATATTGGGTGTGACGGAAGATGAAGACCCCATGTCTGCCAAAGCCAAATGGCTTAGAAAAAAGTACATGGGATGATGGAGCTGAGAGGAGGTTCTGATCAGAATGATTGTGCTGAGATTGCCAAATATGGTCACCAGGTAGATGCACAGGATGATCACGAAGAGGATGACCCGAAGGACTGGATCTTGTGTTAAGCCCAATAAAACGAACTCCGACACTGCAGTGTGGTTCCTGTCCACTGGAGAATCCATGTGACAATGAGATTGCTCCAAAAGTGAATTGTGCTGAAGAAACTATATTTAGGAATTTATGTATTTGATGGTTTCATTTTCATCAATATATACACATGAGTTATTAAAAAAGTAAAATCACTCAAATAAATTTGGACTAGGAATAGATGCTATTTTTGCTCCAGAACATTTGAGTTTGTATGTTAATGTCTCATGCTATGTGCTAGGAACACCAAAAAATTACCTTATCAAATAATATATATACACATGAACTTCAAAACATTTCTGGAGGGACCAGCAGTCAGCATAATGGCTATGTTGCTGAACTCCCATGTAGTCGAAAGTCCTGGACCTGGTTGCTTATACTCACGCCATTTGCATGTGCGTGCGTGCCCAAGATCCGGAGAGGAGAATGGAGGAGAAAGGATTGAGGCGTGGCCATCTCCCCTGGGGGGTGATTTCTCACTTTCTGTCTCTCTGTCTCTCTCTGTCTTTCTGGTGAGCACACATGCTCTGTAGCAAAAACCTCTCAAAAAAAATTTTGTGGAGTAATGGAATTACAGCATGATTGTGCTTTGCAGCCCCCACATTTTGAAATCTATGCATAGGTGCCTAGGTTTTTCTTTATATGCCTTTTGCATGAATAATTTGAAGTTCCCTCTTGTGTGTGTGTATCTATGCATGCTTATTTTGTACAAATATAATGAAATGTACTATTGTAGTATTAAAGTTAAAGATTAAAATTATGTATAAGACTTAGTCATATAGCAAAAGAGAATGTAAAGATAGCCAAACTGATTAGAACGTGTAAGTATAGGATGAGGTAATGGAGATGACTAATGTTTTCTGAATGTTTACAAAATTATAGGCACAAGATTAATTTTATAAATACATATATTTGTATTTTAATTTCCATAACTAACTTTAAGTACTGTTATTATTTCTATTTTATGGATGAGAAATTGAGGCTAAATTGTGAAATAACTTACCTAAGGTTACTTATGAAGTAACTGGACACAGGCTTGTGTGGACATTTTGAAACAGGATATGAACCTTAGACAATTTGAACTCAGTCCATGTCCTGAGTAACTTTGCTGTAAAGGAAATTAAGCAGTAGTTATAATGAAGTGGAATACACAGTTTTCTGACAGCTAATTTATAAAGGAGGTGCCTAATTAGTCATACATTTAAGATGTCTGTCAAAAAGGACCATTTATAAAGAGGAGAAGTACAATTTTATTGATAGGAGAAGGAAGAGGTAGAAAAAAACATCCCAATTAAGATTAAGAATGAATTCAACTAATGTAAGCATGTTAAACATTTTCACAGTTCCATTGTAATGTTACGTCAAGTCGTTTCAAATGTCGTTCTAGTCACTATGTAAAAAGTTGTGATTAATATTTAAAATTTTTAAATGATTTTAACCAAACACATCAAATCATTTCCTAATGTCACAATGTTTTTTAATTAGGGCATTGTAGATTGAAACAGTACTACTTTCAACATAGCATACGGCTGCTAAATTTTAATCCTAAAAAGTTAAGAAACTCACCCAGTTAGTGTCCAGGCTGACCCTCATCTCCCAGGTTTTATATCCTTGTCTAAGTTGCCTGTGTTATTAAAACATTGAGACAACAACAATGAGAACCCAAATAAGTCTTTCCACAGAATATTTACTAAGATAATGACATTATTAGCATTATGGTTGAGTGATGGGTTAGAATGGATTAAGATGATATGTTTCTGCTCTTACGGATGTATACATGAGAAAAATTGATAAGCAGAATTACGTTTGTTTATTAATAATAAATCGACTGTGAAAACTTTGTTCAGTCAAAGTTCCTTCTAATTGACTGTTTACAACTGCCCTGTTGCTCAGCTATAGCTGGTGCGCACAGGTACCACTTTAAAGAAGGACTGGCTTTGCCTCACCATCTGTGTACCCAGTATCAATGCTGAGGTGAAGCTGTTTCTACTTCGGCTTTTATCCTGAGTTCTCTCACAGAGTTGCAAACACTTTGTATGTTATTGGGCTGTTGGAAAAGTCATGATGTATTTCTTCTATGCAAAAATGAGTCATGGTTTTTCCAACAACCCTATGTATCACTTAGACAACAGTGTTTCATTTAGTGTAACCAGTTTTAAAAACTCAGATGGAATAAAACAACTGAAGTCCTAGCAAACAGAAATGTAATTTTAAACTATTTGAATAAAGCTAGAGGAGGAAGGAGAATTTGTCTAAAACTTTTAAAAAATGGTAAATGGAAATCAATAAATCAGACTTACTAAAAAAAGTCTTAACATAGAAATTCACTCATCTCTCAGTAGCATATTCAAAAATCCTTGTTACTATATATAAAGTAAGTTATCTTTTATTATTATTTGCCTTTGGGAATAAATCTCTGAAGAGTCTAGATGCAAAGAGGAATTAAAAAGCACCAGGGATTCTTATCTCATCTCAAGTGAGTATCGAACAATCCAAAGAAGATAAACACAATTAATTTTTAAAGGTTCTATTAATTCCAAAATTTTCAATACATTTTAAATACAGGTGTTAGTACACATTAATTGTTAATGGAATACATTATCTCAAAGTTAAACTGTAAATTTACTTTTTAAAAAGAATTATTTTAATTAATTAATTAACTTATTTATTTATATTTGACTAGAGAGGGACAGAGTGAGAGAGAGAGGGAAAATGAGAAAGTAAGCTGCCAGGTCTGGGACTTGAACCACAGCTGGCCATGTAGGAGTCCAGTGCCTTTAAGAACCATGCCACCTGCCAGCCCCTAATTTTTATTTTTGAAGCAAATTTTTTTTTTTTTTTTGGTAGAGGGCGCATATGCTTACTGTAGAGACACAGAGAAATAAAAAGTGAGAAATCACCAGGGATCCAGAACTCAAACCACAGTCGACTACATGGAAGTCCAGCAATGCAACCATTACACCATCTTCTAGTCCTGTAAATTTACTTTGACATTTCAGATTAAAGAACACTAAAGTGCAAATACAAAATGATAAGTTTCTCATCTTTCACTCAATATGTGTTCATCTTAAAGGTATTTTGTAGTGATTAAGGTAAGACACTCCATCAGCTACATCCAAGATTGAATGCAATGTAGTATGGAATTTTAAACCATGAGTATTTAGGAAAGTACATAATTTTTTTGCCTTTTATTCTATTTTTTAAATTAAATATTTTTACTTTTACTTTCAGTTATTGTATTTCTTTACAACATTGAAAATGAATTTTCCCAGCATGAATACCCATATATTATTCCAGGCAAATCAGTTACCATACATGTTTTCATCAACAGATAATTTTCCATTTTTTTGTGTATTGAATTTTTTTTCCCTTGATTCCCTCTCCTACACACACACACACACACACACACACACACACACACACTTCTCACCCTTCTCTGGTACTGTTTCTGATATCCATTGTTGCTTTCCATGATTTTATGCCTTCCAATCTTTCAGTTTCTGCCCTAGAGTGCAGACATTCAGTAGGGACATATAATGCCTCTCTTTCATAGTCTGGCTTGCTTCACTTAGTGTTAAATTTTCCATAAGTGTCAATTCTTTATCAAATGCCAGGGTCTTATTATTTTTATTTTTTACTTTTTTAATAATTTTATTATGATTTATTATTTATACAGTCAATAGTTATACATTATTTAACTTATAAAGTTATTTGATCCAACATGATATATACCACACAACAGGCGAGTTGAGAATATTATACATGACATCACCAACAGGCAACAAACCATATCTGTGTCTCATAAATGTCTTACTTCTCTATTTTTTCCCAAATTTCCCTTCCTGCACTTTTCCTCTCTCCCACTCGCCTTCCACTTTGTCCCCATTGTCCATAAAAGTTTTCAGTGCTTTTATGACCTCCAGTATTTCAATCTCTACCATAGATTGTAGACAATTGGTATATGTTAAGTGGAGACATAAAATGTCTCTGTTTCATAGCCTGACTTGCTTCCACCAGCAGTAAATCCTCCAAGTTTGTCCACTTTCTATCAAATGCCAGCGTTTTGTTTTGTTGTGGCTGAATAGTACTCCATAGAGTGTATGTGCCACACTTTTTCAATCCATTCATCCATTTGTGCACATTTGGGTTAGTTCCATGTCTTAGCAATCATGAATAATGCAGCAATAAATATAGTTGTGCAAGCACTCTTCTGACTGAGCATTCTCCTGTCCTTTGGGTAGATAGAAGTGGAATTACTGGATCACATGGTATCTCTATTTGAAAGTCTTTGAGAAACCTCCATATTGTTCTCCTCAGTGGCTGGACCAATTTACATTCCCACCAAAAATGTAGTAGAGTTCCCTTTACACTACATTCCCGTCAGCACTTATCTGTTTTTTTGTTTTTTTTTTTTAATCTTCGCCATTCTGACTGGGGTTAGGTGGTATCTCATTATGGTTTTGATCTGTATCTTTCTTATGATGAGGAATGTTGAACATTTTTTCATATGCTTTTTGGCTGTTCATATGTCTTCCATAGAGAATTGTTTATTCAGCTCATTTTCCCACCTTTTAATTGGGTTAATCATTTTATTCTGGGTAAGTTGCTCAAGTTCCCTGTATATTCTAGTTATCAGTCCCTTATCTGAGGCATAGTTAACAAAAATTCTCTCCCATTCCAAAGGATTATTGATTCATACTAAGAGATAGGGATTCAGATTCATCTCTCTGCAGGTGGATAACCAGTTTCTCCAGCACCATTTGCTAAAGAAGTTTTCCTTTCCCCACTGGGTTGACTTGGTACCCTTTGTCAAAGACCAGTTGGCTCTTTGTTTTGAGGTTTATTTCTGGGGTCTCTACTCTGTTCCATTGGTCCTCATGTCTGTTTTTGTGCCAATGCTGTACTGTTTTGATTATCACAGCTTTGTAATATATTTTGGGGTCAGGGAGTTAGATACTATCCACTCCACTCTTCTTGAACAGGATAGCTTTGGCAATATGGGTTTTTTTATGATTCCAGACAAACTCTAAGATTA